ACTCTTGGGCTTAAGCAATTCTCTTGCCTTAACTTCCCAAGTAGCTGGGACTACAGGCGCCCACCACAATGCCCAGCTATTTTTTCATTGTAGTTGTCACTGTTTAGCTGACTCGAGCTGGGTGTGAACTCACCAGCCTGGGTGTATGTGCCGGCACCATAACCACTGTCCTACAGGTCCCGACCCTCAAACAACTCTTATACTATTTGCAAATATTACTGAATATTATCTGACCCCAGATTCCCAATCTCTAGATTCATTCTCCAGAGGCAAACATCTTACCAATTTATATATTCTTCAGAGATAGTCTTTGCATATATAAGCATAGAGGCCTATTTATACATTTATTTATATATAAATGATAGCATACCAGGCATTATAGTCTACACCTTGTATGCATATTTTATTTAATAGCTTGGATCATATGCACAGAAGATATACACTAAAATATAGTGTATGTTATCATTTGGCAAAAGTATTTAAATTTAAAAGTACAGTCATTCACACCTGTAATCCTAGAACTCTGGGAGGCCGAGGCGGATGGATTGCTTGAGCTCAGGAGTTCAAGACCAGCCTGAGCAAGAGCGAGACCCTGTCTCTACTAAAAGTACAAAGATTAGTCAGGTGTTGTGGTGGGCACCTGTAGTCCCAGCTGCTAGGGCTGCTTGAGCCAAGAGTTTGAAGTTGCTGTGAGCTTCTCAAAAAAAAAGAAGTTGCTGTGAGCTATGATGACACCACAGCACTCTACCCAGCATGACAGAGTGAGACTCTGTCTTGGAAAAAAAAAAAAAAACAACCTAATGAGCTGCCAGTCTTATAAAAGTATATAGCACATACAATTATGAGCAGTACATATTTGATAATAAATTACTTTGTTACTGGCTTATGTATTTACTATACTTTTTATTGTTATTTTAGAGTGCATTCCTTCTATAGGAAAAGAGTTAACTGTGAAATAGCCTCAGGCTGGTGCTTCATGAGATACTCCAGAAGAAGGCACTATTATCCTAGGAGATGACAGCTTCGCGTGTGTTACTGTCTCTGCAGACCTTCCAGCGGGACAAGATGTAGAGGAGGAAGACAGTGATATGGATGAGCCTGACTCTGTAGGCCTGTGCTAATGTGTGTGTTCATGTCTTCGTTTTTAACAGAAATGTTTAGAAAGTAAAAAAAGTCACAATTTTTAAAAATAGAAAAAAACTTATAGGCTAGGATAAAGAGAAAATATGTTTGTACAGCTGTGCAATGTATTTGTGTTTTAAGCTAAATGTTTTTAAAAATTTAAGAGCATAAAAGGTAAAAAATTACTGTAAGCTGGGGTTAATTTATTATCAAAAAAAGAAAAATATTTTTAAATAAATTTAGTGTGGCCTAAGTGTACTGTATTTATAAAATGTATAGTAGGCAGGGTGTGGTGGCTCAGGACTATAATCATAGCATTCTAGAATTCTGAGGCAGGTGGATCACCTGAGCTCAGGAGTAGGAGACCAGCCTGAGCAAGAACGAGACCCCGTCTCTAAAAATAGCCAGGCATTATGGTGGGTGCCTGTAGTCCCAGGTATATGATCAATTCTTTAATGTCATTTTCAGGAAAAGAGTTATTTTTAATTTTTTTTTTTTTTTTGAGACAAAGTCTCACTATGTCACCCTTAGTAGAGTGCCGTGGCATCACAGCTCAAAAGCAACCTCACACTCTTGGGCTTAAGCAATTCTCTTGCTTAAGCGATTCTCTTGCCTCAGCCTCCCAAGTAGCTGAGACTACAGGTGCCCGCCACAACACCTGGCTATTTTTTGTTGCTGCTGTCATTGTTGTCTAGCTGGCCCAGGGATGGATTCGAACCTGCCACCCTCAGTGCATGTGGGTGGCACTGTAACCACTGTGCTATGAGCCAGAGTTATTTTTAATTGTAAGTTGTTTTTCTATTCTTAATGATGATAAATTAAACTGCAATGAGCAATTCTTTACATAAATCTCTGTTCACTTTCC